CGGGGGAAGGGCAGAACTTCGCTGAGCTGTGCCAGGACTGTCACAGAGTTTGGAAGGGAGACTGGCCAGAGGGGGAGGGGAGCCCAGTGCCCCACTGTGGTGCTAGGGGGGCACTGAGTGACAGGGAGCAGGCAGGGGGCTCGATGGAGGGAGGAATGGAAACTAAATGGAGTGAGAATTGGTCAAAGACCCAGGGCTGGGCTCGCAGGGGGCTGCAGGTCTGGAGTGAGGGCACCGGCAGAGCTGTCGGGGAAGCTCAGGGTTGGTCTCTGCTCTCTATGGGTCCCACTTCAATCCCTGTCTGTCCCCTGCAGGGTCCCTGTCCCTGGAGTCTGGTTATTCCCTCATGGTGCTGCAGTCGGTGTCCGTGCAGGAGGGTCTCTGTGTTCTCATCCCCTGCAATTTCATGTACCCAGCCTCGTATGACACCAACAATTCCCGACACCAGCTTTACAGATACTGGTTCAATGATCCAGTCGATGTGCACAATGATCCGCCTGTGGCCAGCAATGACCCCAGCCGGAATGTGTCGCAAGACACCCAGGGCCGGTTCCGGCTGACGGGGGATCCGGCGCCCGGCGACTGCTCCCTGCAAATCAGCGACGCCCGAAGGACGGATGCAGGGAGATATTTCCTTAGAGTCGAGAAAGGAGACTTTAAATACACTTACCGCACCAATAACGATCACACTTTCCCTATCCTAGAGATCTCCGTGACACGTAAGAGCAGCCGCAGTCACCACTCATCGGTCCCCCTAAGCCAGTCAGTCCCCGCCCTGGGGCCAGATTGGAGCGGCGCCCCTAGAGGGGAAAGGCCCCATGTCCCCGAGTGATTCTCTCCCCTCTTGACATGTCTCAGGGCTGATGGAGGAGCCAGAGATCGAGATCTCGCCAGTGTGGGGGCTGCCAGGGACGCTGCTGGCTTGGGAGCCAGTAAATGTGACCTGCACGGCCCCCGGGCGCTGCTCTGGGACCCCTCCCCGAGTCACCTGGACGGGGCTGTTCAGCGACACAGCCCGGAACGTCTCAGCCCAGCTGGCAAACGGCACTTGGGCCCACAGCTCTGAGCTCCGCTTCACGCCCACCCCAGGGGACGATGGCAAAGAGCTCATCTGCACCGTCACCTACAGCCCACCACAGGGACCTTCCACCAGCAGAAGAATCCGGCTCCACATCGACTGTGAGTGACCCACTAGCCCCTCGACGCCGGCCCCCAGCTCCCTATGCTGGGTTCCCCACCCCTGGGCTATCCCAGCCCTGCTCTCCAGCCCCTCCCCAACCCTGCACTGTGCTGGGATCCCCACCCCCCACCATGCAGCCTCAACCAATTCTACTCCAGGCCCCTTCCCTCCACACCGTGCAACCCCTTCTCCCTTGGGATCTTCACCCTTCCTGCCCCCCTTAGCTATAGCTCCCCTCTCTACCCCCGACCTGCCCTGCCCCCAGAATCCTCCTGTGCTGCTATCCACACACTCCACTCCAATCCCACCTTGTTGCGATTTCTCCTCACACCAACCACCCCAGTTCCCCCTGAGATTCCCCCACACTGTCCCACTGCGTCTCCTCCACCCCCTCCCCTTTCTGCCGGGATCGGTGGATGCTCTATATGGGGCAGAGTGTTATTGGGACTCAGTCACTGTCCAGCACTAAACACACTCCGGGGTCGGTGCCCAGAGACCTCGGCCCGCCCTGCCCTAGGGCAACCCCCCATTAAATGGCTTGTGACCCTAACGCTGCAGATCCAGGGTAGAGGGGAAATCAGCGGCCGTCTTTGCGAGGTGAAGGATCAAATCAGGCATCAGTGTAAGGATGGCCCTTGTTCCCTTCAGCTGGAGGGAGCTTTAGAAGGAACCCGCCCCCCCAGTCCCCCGCCCATGTCTGAGCCCAGGCTCCAGCCCAACCCCGAATGTCTACACAGACCTTGGAGGAAACGTCCGCACTGCAATCGAAGACCCACAGCCCGAGCCTCCCGAGTCCAACCCAACGGACCCAGGCTCTGAGTTCCGGGTGTTGCTTTTCCCCACCCCTCTGGGTGCAGCCGGGTAGCCAAGCAGCAAAATACCCAGTCCTGGCCAGTCAAGCTCGGGGGCGAAAGGAGAGGGCTGGGGAGAGATGAACCGAGGGAGGAAAGCAAAGGACGCATGACGGGGGTGTCTGATGTCCCTGGTGGTGGCTGGGTCTGGGGTGGGGGTGTGAGTGGGGTTATTTAGACCCCTGGCTCTGTCCCCCCCTTGGGAGGACACGTTTGAGGAGCAGGACGCTGAATGCCCGGGCGCCCGGCAGACAGTGGCACCGAGATGGTGAGGCTCGCTCCAGTACCCAGGCTGGAGCAGCTCGGCCTCTCGTTAGTGCCTCTGCCAATTAGGCTGAATTTTGACCCACTGGTTTTGGTCCCTTGGGTTTCAATTCCCCATGGTTCTGGTTCCCTGGCGCGGCCCTAACCCGGCCCCTGGGTTCTGTTCGGCGCCTCTTGGGTGGGGCTCAGTCGGGTCTGTCACTTCCCTTTCCCGCCCACGGGTCTTGTTCACTTCAGGGACTTTCCCATCCCCCAGCTGAGCTCACAGCGAGGGTCCATGTCTAGGTTCAGTGATCACTAGTGACCCCTCCCCCGCAGTGCTCTCCAGCCCCCTGATCCCCCCTGTCTGGTTTGTGTTACAGACCCACCCGGGCCCCCCAACATCACTGGGAAACTGACCAGGAACGGACGCCCTGGTGAGAGGCTGCGCTGCGAGCCCCGGGAATCAGCGAGTGCCTCCTAGTCACGCTCTGCCCGCGCTCAGGCCAGGCGCCAGGATCAGCCAGGCCAGACTGCTCCATGCCCGGAGGGGAGAGCCCGAGGAAGCTGCACGGCTGTGGGGAGGGTGGTGGGGAGAGCGGGCCCGGTTCCCTCAGTCTCCAGACCCCCAGACAGAATTAAGGGGGCGCTGGGCAGTGGGAAGGAGATGGGTTAGGGACTGATTTCTGCAACGGAAACCTGCTGCCATGGAATGGCACCGAGATTGTTCACCCACCACAGAGGGGCCATGTCTCAGCGCTGGGTGAGGCGTCCCTGTATAAACAGCCCCCAGGTCCCACCCCAGTGGTGGCTGCATCTCAGCTCCTTAGTGGGGGATCTCTGGGGGGATCAAACCCACCTGCTCGTTTCTTCCAGTGCCAGATGTGTGGGGAGCTGAGGGCAACGTCGTGTCTCTGGAGACCCAAGAGGGCGACTCCCTGAACCTGAGCTGTGAGGCTTTGAGCAGACCAGAGTTCAACCTGAGTTGGGCCAAGGGGAACGAGTCCCTCAGCCCCGGCCAGGGAGGGGCCGGGCACCTGGAGCTGCCGAATCTCAGCAGAGGAGACGCTGGGGAGTATTGGTGCTGGGTGAAGAATTCCTACGGGTTGGCCAGCCGGGTCCTGCGTGTGGACGTGCAGTGTAAGGCAGTAGGGGGCGCTGTGCCACACAGAGGGGCCTTAGTGGAGGGTATTGGGCTGCAGGGGGCAGGTGGTCAGTAAGGGGCGCTGTGCTGCAGGGGGTGGGCTGGGGGTCAGTAGAGGGTGCTGTGCTGCAGGGGGCAGGTGGGGGATCCACGGGGGGTGCTGGGTGAGGGGGGGCCGAGCCGTCGAGGGTGCCTGCCCCATGGAGGAGAATCAGCTGCGGCTGGAGCTACCCAACATGATGGCCGAGGACGGGGGGCTGTACGGGTGCTGGGCCCAGAGAGAGAAGAGCTCCGCCCAGGGGACGTTCCAGCTGCTCATCGAGTGTGAGTGGGGTTAACCCCAAGACGCTGACACTGGAGAGTAGCAGTGTTCATCCGTGGGACTCCTCGCCACTGAGTCCTAGCAGGTGTCACAGGTGCCTGGCCCCTTTAAACAGAGACAGTGCATACCGCCTCCCCGCCGCCCACCATGCCATAGTTAATTAGCTGCTTCGAGGGCAGCCCCAAGGGGGGCAGCTGAGGCTTGAACCAACTCCTGGTCTCTCTAGGAGGGCCATGAGCGCCCCGACTGAGGGCAGAGAAGCTGGAGGGTTGGTGCGAAGCACTGCTGGCCGAGAATGGGGCCAGATCAGCACCCAGGGGCTGGCC